AAACGACCGGGTATTTATCATTGCAAATGAGATTGCACATTGCCGTGTACTGTTAAATATTGTTTTAAGAACTAACAATCGATGTTGTGCAACAAAATTTTGCCTAAGAACCACTACAATAAAGTTTTTGAAAAACTGTTGGACCTATTTTAAATCGCGTGATTGATTGTGGACGCAATTTGAATCAAGAAAAGATTAAATTAATTTAAATCGTATCAATAGAATCCCGGTACCGATTACCTATGTCTTACTCTCCGTCTGTAGTCTAGATGCTGCCAGATGATGTCTATTTGCATTGTATTGCACGATTCGGTAAAATATTACTACCTACTTGTTTAGTGATTTTCATCGGAGACAATTGTTAAACCAGATGTTGAGCGGATATTTTCTAAAGAAGGCAGAGACAATTTATGAAAAACGCTCAAGATTAAGTGCAAATAAACTGTCACAACTATTATTAATAACGTAATGCAATATGTTCTATTATATGTTATTTTATTTTGTAACAACAAATTATCAATATTTAGTTATCTATTTTGTAATATTTCATATTTAACATAAAATGTTAAACATCATTACTGTTTTGTAATAATATATAATAAATATGTTTCGAATTTAATAGGAAAAATATTTGATTTTTGATGTGAAATTAAATTAAATTTTACCTATACTTGATCCATTTATAAATTATTAGACTAACAAAAATATTAAAATTATAAAATAAAATAATTATTGCCATCATGCGTTAGACGAGTTCGATATTTTATGGTTTCTATAAATATATGAAGTTATCACTTCTGTCGAGCGTCCCGTGACGCACACCATTTTTTTTGTTTCAATATTTTTTCAGGAAACGCTGTGTTTATGTTGTTTTTTAAAATATTTACGAACAGATTATACTTGTCTTCAGTGAATATAGATTCACAGTTAATAAAAGACCAATCAACAAGGCTAATCAATTCATGGATAGTAAAAAGACCCTGTTCCGTAATAGGTCTGATCATGTTTAAAATAGTTGTTGGGGTGACATTTGGAACTGGAATTGTTGCAACAACAGCTTGGGGTTCAGACAGGTATTGGTTGCTTGTGCACGCTTGTGACTTCGAAATTAATGAAAATATTGTCAAGGCAAGAATGATTATGAGTTGGCGTAGAAATCATATGCGCAGAACCATTAGACTTAGCCAATTCACTAAGGGCCAACTGCACCGCTTCGGCTTAGGCGTTAAATGAAACCTAATGATTTAAGGTGACTGCACCGCAGTTTAATCGCCACTTAAACCAATCTAACTGGCACTTAGCCTAAACCGTACTCCCAGTTTGGCTTAGCCATAAGTGGGACCTATACGCAAGCGTGGCCGGTTGGTTGACGGGTTATAAATACATATATACATAACCAAAAATACATTTTTGAATCCACGTTTTGGCTCATTCTTTTTCGGCGAATATCTAATGGGGTAAATCATGGCATTTTTTATGAATTCTTTAATATGGGACGATAACGACGATATAGATGAATTGGAGATAATTGAATTTGGCGTGCCAAGGCGGATTAACAATCGTGCAAATCATTTTCATTATTTTTATGATTACACATTTTTTAAAAAGTTTCGACTAACCAAAGATATTATAATGGTTCTAGTGCCGTTAATTGAAGGACTGCTGGAGTTTCCGGTTGAGACGTAAGTATTAATGCGAATATTTACTTAATTCTTCAAATGTATTGTTTCATATGCATATAATGGGAGCCTGCGTTTGCATGCTCTCATTCGGTTCGTGGGTTCGTCACCGAGGAATACTAATGGTGTTGTCAGTACTGCGTTTCACTTTATGAAGCTTTTATTCGGACTTCACCGTTTCAACACACATTTGGAACTCTCTACTCACTATTCATTGTCCAAGATGGACGAACATAATGACAAGGGCGGTGTTGCCGATACAATAATGAATTCAAACGCACTCTACCGTTACATGCTCCCCCTTTGGTCCACTTAAAGCGTCCTCGCGAGTGGGGCAATACGGCAAGTGAATTTAACAACAGGGGCACTTCTTCCTTGGCGGTTTTCGTTGACCTCGGCCTTCGCGGACTGTATACGACGGGATCGCCGCCTCTTGAGCGATTGGCAACCCAGGTGGCGGATCGTCCTCATCTGAGTCGGCTGATTGGACTGGGGAAGAACTTTCGCCAAGCAAGTTTTCTGGATGTCCATTGCGGCGTCCAGGGGGACGTCCTCTTTTGCGAATTGGCAGAATCGGGGAAGTGTCCTCGGCTGTGGGCTCCTTATAAGGGGTCAGTGCGGAAGTATGATTTTTACCTATGGGTTTGTCCGGTTGATCAATCGACGACAACATATAGGTAGTCGGTGACAACATCCTTTGAATAAGATAGGGTCCATCTCGTTTAGGGGCAAACTTCGACGTGAATTGCTGGCTCGCTTTGGACAGCACGTGAGTGTCCACTAACACTCTATCGCCTTCGTTGAAAGCCGTGTCTCGCCTGCCTGCATTTTTCAAGTTGGTGCGTCTGTCTTGGCTCTTTTCGTGTGCTTCACAGGCTTCTTGGAGAGCAGTTTGCATGGTCAGCAGTGACCTGTGAGACAAAATGATCATTTTGTATTATTGCTTGTAGGTCTCGTTGAACGTCGTCGGGAGACCGCAGCTCTCTACCGAAAGTCAAATAGGCAGGGGCGTACCCCGTCGACCCACATCTTGGAGTGTTCATCGCAAATCGTATGGATGGCAATCTCTCGGCCCAGGAGGTGTGTTTGCCTGTCGTTAGTATGGCAAGCTGTGCTTTCATGTCCCGGTTTTTTCGTTCAACCGGGTTTGCTTCGGGGTGGTATACGGGTGTTAGGCATTGTTTAAAGCCTAGCACGTGCGCCACTTGCTGCATCACAGCAGCCACAAATTGTACGCCATTTGCAACACGACAAATTGAACGGAAACAAAGAAAAATAACAACGTAAAATGAAAATAATTTAATTAATGAAAGTTTAAAAAAAGTACAAATAA